GCGGGCCTCTGGGCTCTGCCCTGCAGGTGCGGAGCGGGGCGCTCCTGCTAGGGCCCCGGGAGCCCACCTCCTTCCTGAGCCCCGCGTCCTCCTGCATTGGGGCGGCGCACTGAGGGACCCCAAGGCTCCTTTAACGCTGCGGAGTCTCGTCTGTGGCGGAAACTCATATGCCTATGGCCCAGTAACCCCCCGTCGCAGGTCTAAGCGGTATAAACTGCCTCGTGTGTTATGCATAGTCTGCAAGACGAACCGCCTGGAGTGAGAGAGAAACCCAACACGTTTTGTGGGTTTGGGCGTTTCCACACGTAAATAGAAACACAGGTGTGAGGGCAGTTGAGGGGTGGAACCGCCCCCCACCCACCAATTGGCCTTTGTTGATGACCTCTAAGGCCAACAAGGAGGGGCTGAACAGACCAAGAGGGGCTGGGGGGCACCGATGCTAAGGCTCAGGTCTTCCTGGTCACGTGAGGCCAGTAAGGCCTTTTAATTTGGAGGGTCACTGGTTTCAGAGCAAGCATCTGTTCTTGGAACCTCCCCTTTGTGCTTGGACCCCTTTTCCCTGCTGGATTTTAAAGCCCCTTCCTGAGTTAGGCAAATTAAAGGAATGACTAGCAGGGACTAGTACACACTGACCTAGCCCCAGTAAATAGACAGGGCAGCTGTAATGTGAACTGCCCGGGGAAGAGAGCCTACACCCCCCAGGACATAGCTGTGTAGAGTGGGGTTTGACATGGGTGAATGATCTCAGCATACCTGGACTACATGACCCACCAGCAGCAAAGCACTCCAGTGACTGGTACAGTTATGGGGGGAAATGTACATAGGGATGATTATATGGTGCATAACAAGGAGAGTCGAGGTGGACAATGCCATGTGGCTGGGCTGGATCCTTGGCTGAGGGAGTGTAGAGTAACTCCCCCAAAAGACCACAAAACAACACTTCTTTGCATTATACATTTTATTCCCGATGCGGGACATATTCCTTCCACCCCCAAACAAAACCACAACCAGCCCTGGGGAGATCTAGGAGGCTCTCCCTACACGTTCCGAAGGAGTGAGGAAGGCAGATGCTGGGGGACTGGCAAGGCTTTGTTGGTCCCCACTCTACTTCTCCTCTCTAGACTCCTCTGATGGCAATGAGGGAGTCTCAAGAGAGGACAGCTGCTCCCATTAGTATTCCCCACATCCACTCACCCTTTTAAAAAACAAAGTCTTCATTACTAAAAACCAAAGCAACAAAACCAAAAACCTATGGGTGCGAGGGTTGGGATAGGAGGTGAAGGGTCACCAACGGAGGAGGGACGGAAGGAAGGGACGTGGAGGAGGAGCCATCACTGTTTCTGCTGCAGGGCCTCCTTTCTGGCTGCATCCTGGAGCAGCTGGGTGTCCACCTCATCTGCGGGCAACTGCACATAGCGGACCACCGAGCCTCGGATGAAGCAGTTCTTCACTGATAACTAGACAAAGATGAACAAATGGAAACACCCTCTTAAAACTGTCTCCTACCTGCCCCGGGCTCCTGCTTTTGGAGACGATTCTTCGCTTCCCCAATCCCAACTCACCATGTGAGGGTATTTCTCAGGGTCTGTGACACTGATGTCCGTTAGCTTGATGTTGAGATACTAAAAAAGAGGGAATGCCATCAATCCTAGACACAAGATGCAAACACCCAGCCCTTAAACTCTCCCCTTTCCTTCCTTGAATGTATCTCACCTGATCCACAGAATGGAGCGTTCCACAGATACTGTTAAGGACAGAGAGAAGGAAAAGCCAAATTAGTGTACACCAACGTCAACCCAGAGGTGACGTCAGAGCTGAGATGAGGACACAGTTGGAGGAAGTGAAAAACATGCGGGAGCAAATGCAGACCAAACGCCCCGGGCAAAGCTTCCAAGAATGGTGTAGGTGTATTATTTTATTTTAGACGCCCCATCTCGTACACCAACCTGCTCTTAAAAGCTACCATTTAAACCACCATTAAACACTATTTTGGTATTCTGCATAGTATCTGTAATCCTTAAACAACACCTTACAAGGTAGCTATTAGTATCGAGGGCTCAAAGAGGTGGTCTAATTTGCTCCATTTTAGGGCACGTGGGCAAATGCACGGGAACGTCAGGTGTGGTGCCCTGAGTTAACAGCCCTTTTAAACACTGCTTTGGAGCCAGAAACTCCAGACACAAAGTAGATAAAGGCAGTTTAGCATAGCTCTTGATGCAGAAACCAGGGACAGCAACTCGCCTAGTCCCTGTTTTCATTCGCTACCATCCGGTAGCGCCCCGCCACCCCCAAGTCATGCCTGGTCCTATGCCACCCCCAGGGTGGGTTGTAGACTAGAACTACTATCCTCCACAAACATGAAGGTATTCTTTTTACATTTATGCTGATCTCTATATGCATAGGTATTTGAATAATCGTGGTTTATTAAGTGGGGAATCCATAGTCAAGAGGAAGGTCATCACACTCATGGGCTAAAAAAACATTGTTCAGGAATTATCTTTTTTCAGTCACTTTATTGTCGGCTCTTACAGCGCTTATAACAATCCATACATTCATCCACTGTGTCAAGCACATTTGCACATATGTTGCCTTCATCCTTTTCAAAACATTTTCTTTCAACTTGAGCCCTTGGTATCAGCTCATGTTTTCCCTCGCTCCCCTACCTTCCCACCCTCTTGAATCCGTGATAAAATAGTTTCCTATCTTACACCACCCACTACCTCCCTTCACCCGTTTCTGTTGCTCACCACCCTAGGTGGGGGTTGGGTGGGGTTATATGTCGATCATTGAGATTGGTTCCCCCTTTCTCCCTCCCCTAACAGTTATCGCTACACTTCCATTATTATTCCTGAGGGATTTATCTGTCCTGTATGCTGTGTGTCGAGAGCTCTCATCTGTACTACTGTACATGCTCGGGTCCAGCCAGATTTGTAAAGCAGAACTGGGTCATGATACTGGAGGGGAGGAAGCATCAAATAACTAGAGGAATGTTGTATGTTTCATCAGTGCTATACTACAACCTGGCTGGCTCTTACCTTCCTTGTGACCCGTCTGTGAGGGGATATCCAATTGTCTACATATGGGCTTTGGGTCTCCACTCTGCTGACCCCCCCCCAACCCCCGCCGTTCACATGATATGACTGTTTTGGGTCTTCTGATACCTGATCCTGTTGACATCTCATGATCACACAGGCTGGTGTGCTGCTTCCATGTGGGATTTGTTGCTTCCCAGCTAGATGGCCACTTGTTTAACTTCAAGTCTTTAAGATCCCAAAAGCTGTATCTTTTCACAGTCAGGCACCACAGGCAAATCTTTATTACAATGTATTTAAATTTGTACGTGTCAACTGTAACTACATTTTCCTCTATTGTACTATGGAGACAAAACATGATTCCCATGTGGGCACTACCCATCCTAATGGTCCTTCCCTATCCATACCTCCAGCCACTCTTGCCAATGATATTGCAATACAGGTCACCTTGATCTTAACCATCCGGCGTGTCAACACCAGATTCGAGTTCCTGACAGCAGTCATTCTGGAACGGTGCGTTCAAAGTTGCAGGAACTACAGGACAAGATGGACAATGTGGTGTGTGTCTCATGCGGTGCTTAGGGTTCCAATACTCTTTCCTAAGAATGACTGCTCTTCACTTGCCCTTCTTCAGACTATGGGGTGGTCTGCAGTATTACCAAACAAAAAATAAAGCAGCAGAAAAATGTTTTCAATAAGGAGACGGCACAAATGCGGTCTGACAACAAATATGAGAAAAAGAGGCCTGATCCCCACGAGGGATGGCATCCCGCCCACCCTGCTGAAGCCTGGCCTCAGGCTCTTGAGGTCTGGTTGTTTTCTCTCTGCCTGTCCCAGCCGTCTGAGGCTGACGGGGGTCTCTCAGGTCCTTGCTTTAGGGCCGGAGCTTTCACACTTCCACTCAAACCAGACGCACTGCCCTAACCGAGTCTAGCCCATACCGACCCTAAAGGACAGGGTTCGGTAGAACTGCCCTGGTGGGCTTCCAAGACTAACTCTTCAGAGAAAGCAGCTAGTGGTTTTGAACTGGGGTAACGCATAGTGTGACCACTATGCCACCCAGGCTCCTTTTTGAAAAAGGTCTAGGAAGCAGAAAAGAGGAAACTGGAAAACAAATCATCCCAGAGAATGGCCGAGGGTTGATTTTTGTCCCACACTACAGAGCTGACTCATGTGCCATTTAGCATTGCCCGCAACACCAGTGGTCTCAAGTGCCAACATGTGAAATCTCTAGCCTATAAGCCAAGGGTCTTCACCAAGGCAACTCTCCTCACCATTCCTTGCCACCCCAATCTTTGTCCTACAAAGGGATGATTTCCCATTCACCTTGGTGGAAGAAAGTACCGAGGAGAGAATAAGTTTAATTCAATCTCTTTCTAATGGATAATTATGTAACAGATGCAGTATTTTAAATGTACATTTCAATGAAAGGATGTTTTCTAAAGAAATCATCAGATGCCTACAGATGTGCACATAAGGATGGCCACGAAAACATCATTTGGAAACGCAAAACATTGGAAAGGGCCTTAAGTGTTCAATTGCAGGATCTTGGCTAATCCAACCATCCAATAACATACCAGTCTGTCCGGTTATAAAGACTTTTAAAAGATCAACTTTTTTTTTTTTAAAGATCAACTTTATTGGCACAAAACAATGTCCACAACACACTGTTAAGTGAAAAGCAAAATCTCAGTTATAGAGAGTATGATCCTATTTAAAGAGCCCTGGTGGCATGATGGTTACAAGTTGGACTAAGGTCTGCAAGGTCAGCAGTTCAAAACCACAAGCTACTCCGCAGGAGAAAGATGGGGCTTTCTACTCCTGTGAAGAGTTACAGCCTGGGAAATTCACAGGGGCAGTTCTACCCTGCACTATTGGGTCACATGAATCGGCATTGAGTCGAGGGAAGTGAGAATGATCCTCTTTTAGTGTTTTTGGGTTTTTTTAAGAAGCCAGATGGAACCAAATTTAATTCTGGCTGTGTGGGTTAGTTGTGTAGACTTAAGTTTCTTAACTAAGCTTCAGTTTCCTCAAGTGTAAAACAGGAACAACGAGATATGTCACCTGGGACAGTTGTGAAAATTAAATCAACTAATAAATGCAAAGTACTCAGCAAAGAGCCTGGGAAGCGTTCCCACTTAGCTAGTTTCTTTCACTCGGTACACATTTGTTAAGTTTCTACTGTATAGCAGGCCAGGCATCCCAGCAGTGCTGTTGGGTAAGCAGCGGAGTGCTAGTTCAAACTCACCTGCCACTCTGGGAGAAAGATGAGGCTATGTGCTCCTTCAGCATTTACGTCTGGGAAGCCCACGAGTCAGAATGGGCTCAAAGGTATTGCTTTGTTTCCTAAACCAGGTGCACTGTGGGATAAGCACTGAGCTAACCACATGACCGGTGGGGTCCATGAACGAATTTATCATTCAATCGGAAAAAATAAAACGATGTTCACTTTGGAAAACATTTTGACAGCTCTACTCTCTGACCTCTCTAGTTATCCACCCTTAATATTATATATTGCTTTGTAGTGTTTTCCTATACACAGCACAACTTCCCAGCTAAGCTGTACGCTTAAGGCACAGGCTGAATCATTAATTCCTCTTCTCTCTCTCACCTGGCCCAGCCATCAAATACTTGGCAAACTAAAAAGGTCTCCTCGGGTCTTGGGAGCACCCACTGGCTACAGACTTGCAGAAATAGGTACCTACCTCAGGTCATTTTTCAGTTCCACGACCACATCCTTTCCCACGAGGGACTTGAAAAAGGAGTAGAAGAGCTACAGTGCGATAGGGTGGGGGGCGGGGGTAGATGTTAGGAGGGCGATGGTAGGGCAGAGCAGCCCCTTGGCAGTTCCTAATGTTGGCAGTTCCAGCGCCCCGCCCACTCCACCCTCGCCCCGCCCACACACAACCCGCGCCCCGCCCACCCGCGCCCCGCCG